GACACTCAGGTTTGCATACTGATATAGGAAATGTTCGTCCACAGGATATCCCTAGTGGAGGAATCATAGAACTTGCTGATTCAGATGCATCAACATCTGGTTCAAAAGCTGCTGCATGTGGTCTTCTTGCTTCTCTAGCAGCAGCCTCTACTAGAGGTAAGAGTAGGCCTGCAGGTTTGGGTAGTTCGGTTTTCAGTTAGGTTGATTCAACATAAATCTTAACGAATTAACCCAAAATAAAGTTCGGTTCGGTATTTGGTTAGTTTGGTTTTTAAAAATCATGCCGAAGTTTTTGATTTCGGTTGTATTTTGGTTTTATTTTGTTACAATTTCTGTTAAATTTGGTTATTTTTCGATTTGAAATTTGGTTCGGTTATAGTTTTCTTTTTTAAAAGAAAACCGAAATAACCGATTGCCGAACCGAAAACCAATGTTTTTTTAGAAAAACTAACGAACCGAACCCAACTCCTAACTGAACTAAACAAAAATTTTGGTTCGGTTCGGTTCGGTTCAGTTCAGTTCAAAATCCCTTCCCTAGGTAAAATTTTTTTACTGGAACAGTATCTGATCTCTTTCTTAATTGATTTGTCTGGTGTTATAATGAATCTGTAGTGCACAGTGAACACGGAGTTCCAGCATCATTCAAGGTTCCAACAGGAGTTGTCATACCTTTTGGATCAATGGAGTTAGCTTTACAGCAAAGCAACTCAGAAGAAAAGTTCACATCACTCCTAGAAAACTTAGAAACCGCCACACCTGAAGAGGGTAAACTAGACAACATATGTGATCAGATCAACGAACTAATAAAATCACTACAAGTCCCTAAAGAAACAATCAACAACATAAGCAAAGCCTTCCCCAAAGACACACGTCTCATTGTTCGTTCAAGCGCCAACGTTGAGGACTTAGCTGGAATGTCAGCAGCAGGACTCTATGAATCAATCCCCAACGTGACTCCCTCAGATCCTATAATGTTCTCTGCTTCTGTGTCCCGAGTTTGGGCTTCTCTCTACACACGAAGAGCTGTTCTAAGCCGTAGAGCTGCTGGTGTATCTCAAAGAGAAGCTTCAATGGCTGTTCTCGTTCAAGAAATGCTTTCTCCTGACTTATCTTTCGTTCTCCACACAGTGAGTCCATCTGATCCAGGCCGCAACCTCGTGGAAGCTGAGATTGCTCCTGGTCTAGGTGAGACTTTGGCTTCAGGGACGAGAGGAACACCGTGGAGACTTGCTTCTGGTAAGCTTGATGGGTCTGTGCAGACTTTAGCGTTTGCTAACTTTAGTGAAGAGCTTCTTGTGTTGGGTAAAGGTCCTGCTGATGGCAAATATGTTCGGTTGACTGTTGACTATAGCAAGAAACGGTTAACGGTTGACTCAGTGTTTAGACAGAAACTTGGTCAGAGACTTGGTTCTGTTGGGTTCTTCTTGGAAAGAAACTTTGGATGTGCACAAGATGTTGAGGGTTGTTTGGTTGGTGAAGATGTTTACATTGTTCAGTCAAGGCCACAACCTCTGTAAAAAATATTTTATTTTCTGTTCTATAAAGCGAATAAATAATAAAAATGTCAGAAAACAAATCGGCGCATGTTTAATAACGAGATATATATTGGCATTACTTTGTAATAAAGTTTGTGGAATTATTAGATTTTGAATTATAAAATTAACTGATAAATAAAATTTTATGTAGTTCAGAGATATCTTTAAGGTAAAAGATACAATCTGTACAAGATTTTGTTAAATCTATTTTGTTTAAGAAAAATTAATACGTAGATGTTTATTAATCTCATATCTTTTACAGAAATATAGAAATTTTTTTCTTTTATGAATTGCAGCAAATCAAAAGTGGGAAATTGTCTAAACTTTCTTAATATCATTTTTATTTTAGCCATATTTATATTTGATTTTAAAGAGGTAAATAGATACTTATAACTGTTGACAAAAAAAAAGACACTTATAACTCTAGAGTTAACTAATCTACATTTAGAGTTATTTAAAAAGTAGAGTTTATAATTTCAGTAAATATTTTAAAAATACTGAAAAATTAAAATACTTTCAAAAATAATTTTTTCGAATTTCAAAATAAATATTTTGAAAAAAGAAAATCTTGAAAAAGCAAAAATTATAAAAATTTCAAATTAAAAGTATATAATTTAAAACTATAAAAATATTTTTTATTAAAATAATTATTTACATATATATATATATATATTATAATGAAATAGTATACATATCTTTTACCTCTTTAGTAAAACTTATCCTTGGGTATTTGTGAAGTCAATTTAAAGAACCTAACGATGAATAATGGTACCAAATGAAACATAAAAGTGAAATTATCTCATCAAAAGTTATCATATAATGTTATATTAATTGCTAGAATTAGCATAACATCTTCTATAATTATAATCATATGTGATTGTATGCTATTAATGTCTTTTGATCACATGGTGTTTTGGCTAATTAATATCTCAAGAGATTGACATTAAGTGAACTAAATCTGAACCCTAAGTATCATGAAAAGTGAAAGGATCTTGATCAATCTTGGTGTAATAAAAACTGGAAAATACCACTAGATCTCCTCAGAATCCAAAACACAGTCTAGCTGATCCTGTTTTTGTATTATATAACTTGTCTTCTCCTTTTAAATAGAGACTGTAACAGAGTTTTTGAGTTTCCATCACAAACATATTCTCTTAGAAGTTCTTGAAATGGCTGGTGAAATTCCAAATTTGGCAGAGTCGAAGTTAACAGCTTTGGTGGTCGATGACAATTTGGTAAACCAAATGATGCATCATAAACTCTTGGACCGTCTAGGTATTCGAAACGATGTCGTTTGTAATGGCCAAGAAGCTGTGGATGCTCATTGTTCCGGTAGAAACTATGATCTCATTCTAATGGATATGGAGATGCCCATCATGAATGGTATTCAGGTATATTAAATCATCCTTCGCTCACTTGATATAGTACTCATTCGTTTTAGTTTAGTTGTCGTTATTGAAATTTTTTTTTTTTTTAAAATAGTTGTGGTTATATAATTTTATTGTATAATTTATTAACTTTATTTATTTTCATTTGTTGAAATGTAGTTATAGGTAATAGTGTTTTTATTTAAAAATATTTAAAATTAAATATATTTGTTAATTTGTGACCATAAAATTTAAACGACAACTAAAATGAAACAAGAAGAATATATGTTAATGTTTTTTTGTTATTTTCTCAGAAACAGTATCAATCAATTTTATTATATTATATAACTAATGGGTTTCTTTTGTGTTAATTGATTTTTTTTAATTAGGCGACAAAGAGACTAAGAGAGATGGGGATAGAGAGCAAGATAGCAGGAGTAACAACTAGAGCTGAGGAAGAAGAGAGGAAAGAGTTTATGGAAGCTGGCCTTAATGACTTTCAGGAGAAACCTCTCACCATTTCTAAACTTGTTTCTATTCTTCATAATCTTGATTTTTACGTCCAAACCTAGTTAATAACAATGTTTATTTGTTAACCTTCACTTAATAACATATAGTTTTGAATATCCATGCTTCAAAATTGTAATTTTTCAATAACAAGCCGATAAAATTCCGAGCAAGTCAAGCTTGGTTTACATAATACTTGCTTGATATTTTAGGTTTGTGATTGAAAAATAGATCATGATACATGTGTTTATCACGAGTGTAGACCTAGGCTCCTAGCTTCTGTATCGTTAAAATCGAGGTACCAAGACTTATGAAAAAGGGTGACACAAAAGCAAGAACTCTAATCAACTTCAACTCTACTATTACTATCACTTAATTCATACACTATTACAGTTATACGGAAAGCCAATGTGCTAGGCTCATTTGGCGTATGGTCTAAGGACAATCCAGCTAATGCATAAACATTGTCTAATAAAAAAAAAATTTGTCCATATTTTCTTGAACATGATGTCCCAAACCGTTCTTGTCTCCGTTGATTTCAATTAGTTTGATGGAATATAATATTAGGAACAAAAGACTCATATCAGTAGTTAGAAGGGTATCTAAACAATATATAAGATAGATGAAGCAATCTATTTATTATTAACTAATTTTATGTTATAAGTCCGTTTAGCTTAACATGGATCATAGTCCACGATCCTCGCAGTCCAACCCGATCTAGCCCACGATCCATGCAGTCCAACCCGATCTATTATCGATCTGTGTCCAAAGTTGGTCTATTGATTCTTGCCCAAACATTCCGAAACTGATGTTCAAAGAGCCATCATCTCGAGAGGCGTATTAATAACAAATGTCCTACATCGGTAGTTGGAAATGATTCTAAGCAATATATAAGATAGAGGGGTTAATCTATTTATTACCAATTGGTTTTAGGTTGCAAGTCCATCTAACTTAAAATATAGTAGACAAGATGAGACAACCATTATCTTTTGTGATATCCCATAATATAAAAAATAAATCTTATTTATTCACTGGAATCGTCTAATTAAAAATTATAATTTTAGTAAATTAATGCTCATATTTCGAATGTATGAATAATGTTTTGTTTTTTTTGCTAAAAATATATGAATATATGTTGAGTATTAAATATTTAATTTTATGACAACCTCTCAACTACTATGGAAATTATATAAGTCAGTTTTGTTTTTGTCAAAAATTCCTTCTGTCAATCTTAATAGCACTACTACTACTTAGATGTTTTAGATACATTTTTTTGTTTAAAAATTAGATAACAGTTTAATTTTTTAATATTTCTCTTATGTTGTATGACATATCTATTCTGAGTTGGTGATTAGTTAAAAATAGTGAATAAAATTAGTGATATAATATAATTTATGTGCTTAATTTTGAAATGTCAATCAACAAAAATGAAGTATTATATTAAAAAAAAAAAAGAAGAAAACTAAAAGTGTAACAGACACATGGACGTTACTTAAAAAGTAACCAACAGAAGATTAAATAAATAATTAAAATGGAATGTATAAAATATATATAAATATTTATATAGTTTTGCCTCTTCTTCTCCATTTCTCACCTTTCAGCGTTTAATCAAAGCTCTCCGTCTTCCCTTTGCTTCAGGTTCGCAGATCTTTCTTCCATTGTCTCTTTCACAGTTTCTTATACTACTGTCTGAAAAAATTGTCTTTGAATCTCAAACACTTGTGTAATAATGGGTTTGTGTCTTTCATTCATGCCATTGTCGTTAAATGCTCGATCTCTTACATTTCATCCAAAAGTTTGCATCTTTATTACATCATAGATTCGTTTCTTCAGCTTTTAATTCATATTCTTATGGATTGATTCAAAAGATCACATCTTTTTTTTTTTAGGATTGAATTGTTTCAAAGTTGTCGTTTTTATGTTCTGTCGGATCTGGGTTCTTGTGTGTTGATCTATATACGTCAGCATTTATCTTTGCTTACATCACTTGATTCTTTCTTTGGCATGTGTTATAAAGTTTCTACCTTTATTTTTCCCTTGGATCTGCGCTTTTTGGTCCATTTATGGAGATTTTAATGAAATGGTTTTCTTGAAAATAATTAAATTCTTTTTCTTCATCACAGGTAATATTTGAACGAATTGATTATTAGTAGTACCATGGGATCCGTTGTTGATGCTGCAAACAAGGTAATGATTCTACACTTTTGAATGGATTATATTAAATCAGTCAAGTGCATAGTGTAGAAGATCTATGTGACTATAATGACACACTGAATAACCAATCTTATTGTTAAAGGAATCTTAGTTATTGAGGTTATCATGTTCCATTTAGATACAGTGCTTGTTCTGCTTTGGAGATAACATTTGTTAGAACCTATTTGAAGTTTGTTTCTTGATGTACTTTCTACAGGTGGCAAGTGCAAAGAAACCTACTGTTATTTTTGTCCTGGGTAAGTTGAAACCGTTACTTTCCTGTCATCATGTTTGTGTTGTTCTTAACGCCATTGATTGCATTGTCCTTAATATATGTCCTGTATATGTTTGAGTAGGTGGTCCAGGTAGTGGGAAAGGTACACAGTGTGCCTATATCGTTGAGCATTTTGGTTACACACATCTGAGTGCTGGAGACCTTCTTAGAGCTGAGATTAAATCAGGTTCTGAAAACGGGTATGTTCTTTTAACTCTCTGGCATTGTCTTTTACATATTAACTTTATTTTTTGTGTAAGTCTTGTCCTTTTCAAACGGTTTAAATTTTCTTTTTTTGCAGAACTATGATCCAGAATATGATTAAAGAAGGGAAGATTGTACCTTCTGAGGTCACAATCAAACTTCTGCAGAAAGCAATTGAGGAAAATGGTAATGACAAGTTCCTCATTGATGGTTTCCCTCGCAATGAGGAGAACAGAGCAGCATTTGAGAAAGTTGTAAGTAAACATTATAATCTATCTACTTCCTTTTTTTTGAGTACTGGTTTAATTAATTACATTGCCTTTTGGTGTGTTTTTTTTGTAGACTGAGATTGAACCAAAGTTTGTCTTGTTCTTTGATTGTCCTGAAGAAGAGATGGAGAGGCGTCTGTTGGGTAGAAACCAGGTTAGTATATGATTATGAAAAGCTCTGTGAGTTTGCTCTGTCTAGCCTCTTGGTCTATGTATATTGATTGTTGCATGTGTTGAAGGGGAGAGAGGATGATAATATTGAGACTATAAGGAAGCGTTTCAAGGTGTTTCTTGAATCTAGCTTACCAGTGATTCAGTACTACGAAGCTAAAGGGAAAGTTCGCAAGGTAAACATCTTTTCTTCTTCTCTAATTCTCCAGCAATTGTGAGTTGTAATAAAGTGTTGTTTTGTTTCTACTTGGCTTCAGATTCATGCTGCAAAGCCCATTGAAGATGTGTTTCAGGAGGTGAAGGCCGTCTTTTCTCCTGAAGCTGAGAAGGTAAAAAAACAATAGTTGTGCAGAGTATGATGACATTATTATCTTATCACATAAGCTATTGGTAGATGCTCAAGTTAACGATTCAGTGAACGTTTTATTTAGGTTGAAGCCTAGGCAGCAGCATCAGTAAAGATATATCCAGATAAATTGATCAGGTAAGTATGTTTAGCAGTCAATGATGATCATTTTCCAGCTCCAGTTTTGATCTTTAAAAGTGAAAATAGGTAACTTAAGACTCTGGAATAAAGGCTATGGAAGCTGATGTTTTTGTTATATAAGTTTATAGCATATGTGATTATCTAGTTCTGTGGAATCTTTTTTTTTTTTTTTTTTTTTCTTTTTTGAGAAAAAGTTCTGTAGAATCTTTAGGACAAAAGGTGTATGTATGAATGTGTGTGATGATTATTGATGTCTGTTTTCTTTAAAGAATTTGCAGGTAGTTGGGTGGTGGCATCTTTTACCAGGAAGCCTCTGCTTGGCCGTATTTTGTTCCTCTATATAACCATATGATTACTGTTGTCATTATTATAATACACATTTTACCTACTATATAATTTTTTTTGTAGTTGATCAAAAAAAAAAATTTTTTTTTTGTACTTGATGAGATTGGCTTTCTGTAATAATTTCATAAAAAATGAATTTATTGGATTTTGTAATATAGTAGATTGTTTACGCAACTTTTTGTTATCACCAAAATCTTCATATTATTTAATTAATTATCACCAAGATGTACTTGAGAGCAATGGAAATCACTCAAATAGTTTTTCACAGTAATAATAAATAAAAAGTAAGAGAAAGATGGTGGAACGTTTTCATTTGAGACTTTCATGACTTTGTGAGACTCATTTCACTTATATTTATGTTGTGATTCATTTATTTAAAAAAAATAAAGAAAAATAATAATAACTAGCTTTTAACATTTACAATTTTTTGAGAGATTAATAGTCTCTGCTATTGCTGATGGTCTCATGTTCATATATGAAAAGAAAGTCAAAATGAACGAGCTCTCTCGTTATTCGACTATTTATGGCTCAACTTATCTCATTTACCAGCAATCTCTAAAAATGCCAATTGAGCAAAAAATTATCCATTGGTTACTTTCTGCCTCTCATTTTGTTTACCAGTCATTGATGCTCATTTTGCAGCTCATGTTTTGATGCATAAAAGTAAAAGGTAACTTTTTTTTTATAACACTGAGATGTAAAAATATTCGAGACAGTACAAAATGATAGAGAATCGTAAGAGAAAAAAGAGATGTCAGTAGACATCAAAACAAAAAGGAGAAAGAACTTCACCCAACCGTTAAATGCTGAGCCTCCTGAGCGAGTAGATGGTGTAACCATATATACGGGAGCATTGTTGGCGATGTAAGACTGGTGGCGGTGATCGCGAGTGACACTTATAGCAATAGCGTCAGCAGCTTCATTCCGTTCTTGTAGTGCGTGATCTAGACTCCAGAGAGCAATCTTGGATAGCAGGAAGCAGACATTGTGGCGGACAAGGCTTAGACTGAGATGGTTCTCCGGATAACTGAAAACGTCATGGAGGTCCTCGGATGAAGTCTCAAAAATAACATTCGAGAAATGCAAGTTGTGGATGCATTCCACAGCCCAGAAAAGAGACCAAAGATCGGCCTCTGCTTTTGTACGCATATAAGAATAAGCACGCCGACTATGCATGAGTGTACATCCATTTTCATCTCGTAGGATCCAAGAAGCACCACTAATGCAATTCGAACTTAACCATGAAGATCCAACATTACATTTGAGTAAACCATGGGAAGGTTTTTTCCATCGAATCATTGCTGGAGGAGCCTCATCAACATTCACTTTAGTGTCGGTGAATGTATCAAACCATGTGGATTCCTCTTCAAAGGCTTTCTTAGCAATAAAAGAAGGCTCAGTATCTTTGTCTTGGAAAACAAAATTATTCCTTGCTTTCCAAATTTCCCATAACAACCATGGAAAAACATTCCTTGCATGAATATCCATTGCTGTGTTTTTGGCACTCTTAATTAGGTGAACAAAATTTAAAAATGTTGAGTTCCGAGAAAAGCCATTTAAAGGTAATGGAAAATTAGCTTGCTGCCATGTTATGCGTGCTTTCGGACATGTAAAAAGCACATGACATATACTCTCCGCCTCAGTACCGCAAACCGAACATGTTTGGTCTATCGGGATACCCCGAGTAGCCAAACGTTGTTTCACCACTAGAGCACCAGATAGAGCCCGCCACATAAAATGTTTTATTTTTGGTGGAGCTTTAACTTTCCATACCTCCTTCCATAATTGTTTTTCAATAGGAGTGAGGGAATGACCTGAGGGATGATCATATTCAACCAAAGCTTCTAACAGTTTGTACCCGCTTCTAGTCGAATAAGAACCACTCGTTGTGAAACCCCATCTGAGTGTATCGTCAACTATCAATGATGGTTTCAAAAGTAAAATCCGTTGAGCATCCTCTGCCGTAAAAGTTTGATGTAATAAAGTAGTATCCCACTGATTCGAGCCCGGAATAAAGAGATCGAAAACTTTTAGCGCTAGATTTATGGAACTATTTTCCCGGTACATTGGTGGCCGAGGAATGGTATCGATAATCCAGTTTTCCGCCCAAACATTGGTATCAATCCCATTGCCGATATGTTGATATAAACCTTTTTTTAATAATTCTCTACCATGCATGATGCTTCTCCATGCATACGATGGTCGTGTGCCCATGCCACAGTCCAAAAAATTCCCATTTTTGAAATATTTGCCTTTAAGAATCTAAATAACTTTATACCATATATCTATAGTATGTATGGTGTGTTTGTGAATGTGATGATTACTAATGTTGCCAATTCTAGTAAACTATGCCTCACATATGTTCATATTTTCCAGTCATTAAATAACATAACAAGAATGCAATTCAAACAATAGTTAGACAATCCTATTTATGTCAAAGCAGACAGATCTCTAACTGTAAAGTAGAGATGGAATTATAAACTGTGAACTCGTATTGATATCAAAACATATATCTCTATGAGAAGATAATGATAAACATAAAGGTAAATCCTTATCTATATGATTCCTTTTCCTAATACTAACCCAACTAAATATCAAACAACAAGGAACAAAACAGAAATAACAAAAGTACTATATATAGAGGCAACAACTCAATATATAAACGCCTTCCTCTCTATCACCAATCTACACATCTCATACAACAAACACAAGTCCTAGACTTCGTTTTGAACAAAAAGAGTTAAGAGCTTGTAAGAGAAAAATGGCAGGAAAAGTGTATATGGTCATGGCATTGATAATAATGGGATTTGCTTTACAAGCATGCAATGGATTGAAACCTGATGCTGATGATGGTGAGGATAGCAAGCCAACACAAGACTCAAGGTTCTTTTGCTTCAGAATCTGTTCCATTCGTTGTGGCAAACAAAACAAACCTTGTTACCAAGATTGTTTGCCAAAATGTGGTCTCCCACGACGATTTGCTAAACCAACAACGTCTCCATCACCTTCCTCTGCCGTTTGATCTTATTTCTTCTAGTTGTGCTTTGTGTCTTTCAGTTATCTCTATATTGATCGAGTTAGCTGATAAGAATGTCTTATATATATATATATATTGTATCAAGATGAAAAGTTGAGAATTAAGTAAAACTAATTTGATTATATATCTGGTATTTGTGTGACACACCTTTTTGTTATTTTAAGGACACATACTACCCTCGGTTAAACACATGAGATCACGATTCATATATAACAATAGAAATGCACATAAAACATTGATCTAGTACCAGACGGGTTTAACGAATATATTTACTAAATTATTTACTATAAACAACATAAAAAAGATTTTGGCTAATGCCAGGCGATTTTTTTTAAATGATCCCATTTCTGTTTTAATAAAAAGAAAACCAAACCAGTGGAAAATGAGTTTAATATATTAACTAATTTATTTACTATAAACAATATAAATTTAAATATTTAATCAAAGCATAGGATATTAAAATAAAAAAATAAATTTCATATATAAACATAAAAAAATATATACATAAATTATAAGTTTTATTATATAAAAGTCTTATTAACCAAAAATTAACCAGCATTATCACATATCGAAATCTATAATACATTTTACCTATTATACAATTTTTTTGTACTTGTTAGATTGTGAGATTGGCTTTTTGTAATTTTCATAAAACTTCTAGGGATTCTATCATATATTGTATTAATTTCTCTTTATTTTAACTTTTGGTTTTCACAGCTAGTTCATATAAGTCATCAAATCAGTTAGTTTGTGTAGATTGTAGTTTTTAATAATTTACTATGCAGTTTTAATTATTCTATGAAAAAATATTTCTTAAACCTAAAAAAAAAACGAACCCGTAATTAAACTGAGATGTCCAGCCGAAAAACAAAACCAAACCGAATCCGTAATTAATATTTTTTATTCAAAAATATTTTCTTCCAGTCATTGTGGAAGAAAATCTAACACCGCTCAATCATTGGACCCCCAGCCCCTTCACTCGGTCTATGGGCTCACTATTTAACGGACGGTGCATTAACTTTGGAAAATCAAAATATTTAGGAACTTTGTAATCCCCACACAATCTTTTTTTTTTGTTTTAAACTAACTTGCACGACGTTGTCAATAAATCATCCATCATTTAACTACTTTGTCATACCATAAATGGAAATGTTGCAGAAAATGTGAGAACAAAGAGACAAAGGTTCAACTAAATCTTACAAGATCTATGTTCGGGGTGTCAAGCCAACCGGCCGGATGCAACAACAGTGACAACTAGAACTGAATTTTCCGAAAACCATCGAGTATTCTCACTCTGTGATGCTAACTAAGTGCTCATTTTGTTTAGCAGTCATTGATGCTTATTTTGCAGTTCATGGTTTGATGTATAAAAATAAAAGATAACTCAAGAAAGTCTAAAATAAAGGCTGTGTACGCAGAGCCAGTCCTGAGATTCATTCACATATTCGCTTAAGGCCGCAGCTGAAAAAAGAAAAAAAAATGGTTGGTTTTGTATATTTTTTTAAAAATATATTGGCTGTTTTTAAAGGCTATATTTCATGTGAAATTTGAGGCCGCAAGCGGATGCTTGATTTTCTTGGCATTAAGGTCACCTCTGTGTGTGTACGCTGATGCTTTGTTATATCATATATCTATAGTATATAGCCTGTAGAATATTTGCGACAAAAGAGTATGTACGTATGTGTGTATGTGAATGTGATGATTAGTATTGATTTCTAGTGTTAGCCAATAGTAAACTAGCCTCACATATTTTCATATTTTCCAATCGTTAAATAAAAAGAATCAAATTCAAACAATAGTTATCAAAGACTGACTTGTGTATATATAGTACTAGGTGTTTTTCTTACACTATATGCATCAATAAATTTTTTAAATTAAATTATATTCAAATATTTTTTTTTGCATTTTAGATTTTATTATTTGTATATCAGTATTTTAATATAAATTTTGATTTAGTTAAACATAAAGTTAAGATAAAATAAATAATTTGATTTGTTTTTTTGTCAAAAAATAATTTGATTTGTTTTTTTTGTCAAAAAATAATTTGATTTGTTTAGATTATATATATATATATATGTATATATTTAAAATTATAATCTTAGATAGATCTTCATTTACTTCTTTATGTTAAGATAT